GCCCACCGGGAGTTGTGTGGGCACACGGCGAGGGCGCGTGCGAATGCAGGCGGCGAGGGCGCATGCGAATGCTGGTGGTGGTGGGCGTGCCCACGCTCTCTTGCACCCCGGCGACTGGCCATGCGTACAAGACTCCACGTGTGCTCGCGGGCCAGGATGCATGCGGGTGTCTTGGTGCATGTGCGGCTTCGTAGGCAGAGCGTGTGCACTGGCCTGAGTGGGAGTGTAACTGAGTGTGCGTTGTCCACGAGGCTGAAGAGACGAGCTGTTTACCTTTGGGGAGGCAACACGGGTGTGAAACAGATGCCCACTGTTTAGGCTCGAGTGGGTGCCCGGACCCCAGGTGATGGATAAGCTTGTAAGAATATAAAATGCCAAGTGGACGAGTGAGAAACACAGAGCTGTGTACCCTGCCTTGTCAGAAGAAGGAGCTGCTCAGTGACATTATAGGGAGCAAGCTGGGAAATAAGGAAACCCCATTTTTTTTAACCTAAGGGATGATTGGCCTGTGGAACTCATTGCCGCAAGATCGTGCGGAGGCCTGCATCCTAGCAGGACTCCAGGCATTTACATGGCTAATGAGAATATCCAGAGTTACACAGTAAAGATTTAAACCAAGGAGCGTGACGCTTCTTGCCACAGGACGAAATTCTGTCACAAGCCTCATCTGAGGAGCTCCTACCTTGAGTAGATTATTCCACAATCCTCTGCTGGGGATCCTGCGCCTTTCGCTGAAGACGCTCGGACAGGGCACAGGGGCTGGCTGCCCTTTGGGCTGAGCTCGTGTGGCATTTCTTAAAGGGATGTAAAAAGGGTTAAAAAATACTCGCCGTGTCACCAATCAAAATTCCATCAGTTGCTCGGTTAAACAGGCCCTGGGGCTGCCAGCCCCACGGCTACTGGCCCTGCGCTCCCTAGCAGAGTTAACTGTTAACAGGAACCGAAAAGCACCAGCTTATCAGTTAACGGGTTAATTGTTTCAACTCTTCCATCCCTACTTCCTTATGCCCCGTGTCTGTGTGCACGCGCACAGATGGGCCTGTGTGCACGGTCAGCAAAGCGTGCATGCACGAGTGCCCGACGTGGGAGTGCACCTGATTTTTGTCAGTGATATTCCCAGGGATGGGGATAAAATGGCGGTTGCAGATGCCTTGTGGGCTGTACCGACTGTGTTCTGCCTGTTCTCACTGTTGGGCATCCCTGGAGCATTAGAACTGGCCCAGGGATTCTTCCTGGTCACTCCCCTCCAGCTCCATGCTAAAGGAAAGAGACGGCAAGAGTGTTTTCCCCTCCCCCCACTTCACCAGCTCCTCGTGGTTTCTTCCAGTGAATCGGAACCGGAGATCCATGAGCAGCACTGGTTCTGGATCGGCTTGAACCGGCGGGATCCTGGAGCAGAGAGGAGCTGGCAGTGGAGCGACGGCCTTGGGGTGAGTACGGACGCACTGTGCTCCATGATGGGTGCTGGCCCAGCCGTGCCGTGAGCACCGAAGCCAGCAGGGCTGCCGCAGGGATGGCAGATTGGCCTCCAAAGACCTCAAAGTGCTGGACAGGCTGGCTGCACACTATTGACAGAGATAGCTCTGCAGGAGCCACTTCGCCCGTTGCTGAAATGCAGCCACCTCTGGGGTGGAGGAGAGCAGCTGTTCGGCAGTGCAATGCGGTAGTTCAGGCCAGGAAGTGGAGTCCGCAAGGGGCATTGTAAGGAGGCCAAGGGGACTGTTAGTGATCTGGAATTTGCTCAGGGCTGGTGCAGGCAGGCGTCACTCTAGTGCCGTTAATGGAGATATTTAAATCTCGGGCTTCATTTGCAAGTTCGAATGACTACATTAGCCACCCTAGTTCGAACCATGGAGGCTGGGCTTCCCTTTTACCTAATCCAGTGGTTTTCAATCTGTTTTCATTTGCAAGCTTCTAGGCAGTTTTGAACGGACGTGGGGGACCCCTTTGGAAATCTCAGCCATAGTCTGTGGATCCCCCGAGTTCCTGGACCACAGTTGAAAACCACTGGCCTATTCCTTCATACCTGATCCTTCTGCTGCACAGTGTGGGCTTTGCAAGAGATGCAGACACAAAGTTCCAGTTCCCACTAGGGATGTTAAATAAGTGCTTGTTCCACCTTTGAAATGTACAAGAGCCTCAGCAGGGGCTCTTGACTTTTCAAAGTTGGAACCGCATGAAGCCCAGGCCCAGTGGGGTGTCCTGGGCTCCACGCAGTGTTTCAAAGAGGAAACGCCGCCGCTGCACCCTTGCCCCGTCCCACCAAGCTGGAGCTGGAGCTGGGGGGACTGGCTTTTGAGCCTGCTCCCCCCAGCACCCCTCCTCTTCCATCCCTTGTTGCCTCTTTGTGATAGAGGCAGCAAGGGGAGGGGGCGACTAGTCAACTAAGGTATCGACTGTCCAATAAGCTCTTCCTTATTGGATAGTTGACTAGTCACTTAGTCGCTTACATCCCTAGTTCCCACCTCAACCTGATCCCACCATGGAACAGCTGCTGGGACTGTGTGTGAGACACAGGGCTGGATAATGTTGTGAGCCGTGGTGGCCCTTGGTATCCCAACTCCGATGCCCTGCGCCTTAGAATGCACAGCTGTCCTGCCCCAGACGCATAGGGCAGTGGGGAAGGAGGCGGAGCTGGGCAGTCAGTTGTTGCACTGCTGCCCACCTCAACCTGATCCCACCATGGAACAGCTGCTGGGACTGTGTGTGAGACACAGGGCTGGATAATGTTGTGAGCCGTGGTGGCCCTTGGTATCCCAACTCCGATGCCCTGCGCCTTAGAATGCACAGCTGTCCTGCCCCAGACGCATAGGGCAGTGGGGAAGGAGGCGGAGCTGGGCAGTCAGTTGTTGCACTGCTGGG